GTGGTGGTGGTGAAACCTCTTCGTCCAACTTTCTGTGCCTCATATTCCCTAGTCACCTTCCTTGCAAGGAGTAGGAACTGATTTGTCTAGCCAATCACTTTCAAAATAAATAGTTATCCCTGCCTTGTTCTAGAGACGATTTAAGCCCATTTGGATTTTATAGAAAAGACAGGGCTTCTGCTTACCTTGATATCAAATTCGAGCTTAAATTTAGCTAGGATTTAGTAGATGTGTGTTTTGAAGACTTAAATAAGGCATAGGAGCGGGAATGGTTGTGCAAATTTTGTGGTTTAAAATAATACAATTTGGCAACAATCAGGCAATGATTTTGTTGTTTAATTTCTTCAGTTTAGCCGTTTGTTCTGCAATTTTATACGCACTTCCGATGTTCGTGAACAAGTTGAAATGTTCAGACTAACGAACTGCTCTTTTCGACATTCAAATAATTTCCTGTTACGATTACTGATATTATAAACAAATTTTCAAAACTATATGAGTAAGTTTTAAGAACAACTGTCGTATTAGAACATTTGCCCGTCTCTGCCGACGCTAAAAATGATTGACTACTAACTCAAATCATAAAGCACTTTGGGTCTACTTCATTTAATTTACAGCGTGGAGTTTTATTACTGTTATTCATTATGGGTTCAAATTTGTGTACTGCATCTCCCCAACTGAGGACTTCTCAGGATTCTCAACGCCTGTACATCTCCTTAAGATATTTGCGTGTTCACTTCTCAGAACGAAGTATTTTGAGTTTCAAGAACCCACGCCAAGTGACGCCAAAAAACTGCCAAATCTCTGATATTCCGACGCTGTGTCGCAGACTCCGCGGATCGAGACGACATCCCTGTGAGATTAAAAAGGCTGAGGAGATTGATTAACTTGACTCCCAGATTTGTCATAGTTTGATGGGCAGATTGCGTGACTATTCCAATCTCTAACTGAAATCAAGCGTGCATTTTAAAATCAGTTAATTCTCCTGAGGCATCTCCTGCAGAATTAAATATTCATGTTTTGGCTTTCGGGGCAGACTAGGGTTGTCCTGAATCGTCCACCAAAGCGCACACTGCCTCTGACAATTTGTTACTTAAATAAGATCTACAGTTGACTTTGTTCGAAAAACTAAGCGAGCAGTCAGATGGTTGGTTAGAAGGTGAAGCAAAATCTGATTTTTGCTTGAAAAAAAATGTCAAAAGCCACCTCTGGCTGAGATTGTGTTGACGTACAAATACGATAGCTTTATTCTCCTGTATTTCAATATTCAGGCACATTATGTAATCGGGTGCAAAGTTTAAATTACTTCTAGTCAGTTGAAGACGCTAAGAAGACTATTAAAGTGTGTATAAATAAAGAAGAAGAAGAGTCGAACACCAGAACACTGTGTTTATTGTCCTGAGCTTTCAGACTCGTACAGGAGTCAATCATCAGAGGTAGCAGCAGCAGCAGAACAAGCGACAGATATAAGGCATGTAGACCAATCATCGACCGACAGCGCAAGACTGGAGGTGACTACGCAGGGCTCTGTACGCCGGCTCCAGATCGACAAATCAATTGACCGAGTTCTCATCTGCAGCCAAGGCTTTAATCAATTCTCGGCCTGTTTTGTTTCCGGTGTGGAGGACTGTTTTGGTGGCTTGTTCTGCTGCTGCTTCCTCTGACGATGGACTCCTGTACGAGTCTGAAGGCTCAGGACAATAAACACAGTGTTCCGGTGTTCGACTCTTCTTTTTCAGTTATGCATACACCTGGAACTCGAAATTTCCTCTTCATTCATTAAAGTGTGTTTCCTTGAGTCTTCCGAAACCAGCCGGACCTGTTCTCGTGATGGCGAACGTCCGAAGTTTGTTGACATTGTCGTCGGTTTTGCCGGCGGCAGCGTTCCATGTGAAATTTTAAAATTTTGTTAGAAAGTTGAACAAAATTGCCTCTTCTCCAGGCTGGCTAATTCGGTAGCCACTGTTTTTCGCCTGACAGCCGACCCATTACCTGAGAAATGTTCCCAGAACGCTAGAGTGGATATTTCCGGTTCACTTGTCATCACCATTCAGTCATGATCCAATATCTGATCAGACAGGTCCGGAGCTCTTGGATTAGTCCGAGCCGAATTGGAGATAATCTATCAGTTCACCACGGGATCGCATACTGTCGGCTCGTTGGCTTATCCTGATCATGAGATGGAGTGAATCTCCCCTAACGGTATGATTCACTGTGGAGAGGAGCAGTCTGGAAGCGAATGTTGGTTGTGGAACGATAGGTTTAACGTCTAGATTTCACATGGGTAAAACTCCAGCAAATTCTCCAAGATTACTTTAAACTTCAAAAGGCAATTTGGCGAGCATACGTCTGCTTTCGATAAATTCTCTTCACGCCTGTACATTTATTTGACTATTGAAGTATTGAATTAAAAGATACGGGCAACTAGATAATTAAGCTGTAGCTCGGGTTTGGGGAGGGGAGGGGAGGGGGAGAGTGAAACACCACGATTCCAGTCAGCGCCAGGGGGAAGGTAATTACCTTCGCCGGGACCTACCTTCCCCCTGGCGCTGACTGGAATTGTGGTGTTTCACTCTCCCCCTCCCCTCCCCTCCCCGAACCCGAGCTACAGCTTAATTATCTAGTTGCCCGTATCTTTTAATTCAATACTTCAATAGCCATATAAATGAACAGGCCTGAAGAGAAGTTATCGGAAGCAGACGTATGCTCGCCAAATTCTTCTTGAATTTTACAATGAAAATTTTCGCAATTCCAAAACAGTCCAAAGATTACTTTAAACTATTTAGCCTACTTGGAATTGATTTTTCAATTAGTGTTCAATCAGAAGTGCCGCCTTTTCCCTGCTTTCTGAGCGTCCTTCACTTATTGTTCGCCCTGAGCCCTGTTCCTACTGACGAGAGACTGAGGACCGTCGGAGTTTGCATAAAACGCTGTATTTTTAATGTGCTGGACTCTGGGCAGCCTAACTAGGCCTATACTCGAAAGTAGAAAAAGAGTACTTAAGTGTGGTTGCCGTGGTGATTATCAACGAATTTAAATCCATGGAGATCCTCCAAATGTCTGATTTCACCTACCTTGCACGTCGGCAACAAGACGTGTCGACAGTTATGGAACCGAATGGCATTTTCGCACTGGCCTTCAAGGAAAATGTATTTGGCCCAATTGTAAAAAAATCGATTGCTTCGGTGGGACCATTATAGATCAACTAATGTCTGACTTCTAATCGACATTGGACATGCTTCCAGATCAGCTTCCTGCTTTTCGAGCCTTTAAAACGCCGGTTATATTTCCGAAAATTGAGGATGTATTCAATTTTATACCAGTGTTCTAGAAAAAAGTGTCTTCAATTTGTTACTTGGAGGAAGAACGTACTTTGCTGTTCGAAAATTTGTAAATATAAGACTTTCCGAATGTTTACGTTTTTGGCAATGCAGTCTAGTATCCGTATCATGTCCTTTTGTCTGATAACATATATGACAAATGCATTTCAACTGACCGCCAAAAGGTTTCTTTTTTGCTGTCATGAGGGAAAAAATATATTTTTTAAAGAGTACTTAGTATGTATTATGAAAACGCATTTTATCGTGCGAAGGATGTGGGACTTGCTAAACTTTGTAGGCCAAAATATGCCCTTCTCCAAATATCAGATCCTAAGACGTACGGCATGCTAAAATTTCCTTTTGGTGTTTACCCATTGACATCTTGTATAGGAAATATAATTGAATCTTAGAAAATGGAAAATTAAGAATATTTTTCACTATCTATTGGAGAATCTCTTGAGAAGCTGGAATGGTGCCCGAGCAAAAGCCGACACATTGACGTGCACGAAGCAACCTCGGGCAATATTTCTTGCCAGTCTGTTTTGGAAGCTCATATTAGTAGTCTTCGCCAACTGAATATATACTTTAGGTCGGAACTTTATAAGCGCAGGAGTAACACGTACTATAGCAAAAAAAGAATTTTGTGACGAGGAACAGAAAAAAAATGTAAATGCATCGAAAATCAAGCGAAGGCCTAGAATTTTTCTTTATTCTTTTTAACTTGATGGCCTATGACCATGTAACTGCCTTCGGGGCGCTTCATATTGGATTTCAAGCCCAATTAGAAAGACCATGTTCCTTTGCACAGTCGAATCGGCCCTGTCAACTCAACTTATTTTGGCGTCAATTATCTTCTGTTAGTTGTCAGAGACCTGCTTGTAGTGAGCGGTCCTGTTCCAAATCGCATGCGTTATAGCAGGTATGCTGTCGACCGTTCTCAAGTTGCACCCTAGGGAGATTTATAATCGTTTCGTAAATTATTTAAAATATCTACTTGCACAATTTTAGTAGCCAAGTTCGATGTGTTTTATACATTCCAAAGACCGCGAGTTGTAGAAGCCTTACCGACATAAACAGGGACAGTGGAATGTGCATTTTCGATTTGTTTACCGTTATTAATCACAAGCGACGCTCGAGCCAACGTTTTGAGTTACGTCAGTTCGCCTCACCTGGCATTATCCATCAAGCGCAAACGACCAACGCGAAGTCGAGGCCGTTCACGATTAGTACAAATAGGCTAGTGCCTTGTTGAATGCCTATGAATTCGGGAACTCGGATGCCCTGTTTATCAGTCTTTCCCAATTAACTTTGAGCCACTCAATATCATCGCCCTACTCACAATTCCTGTCTTCCCTGAAAGCAACGTGTTAGCAGGCTTATCACTAACATAATATTATAAGACCAGTTAGCGAGCACACGTTTATTTTGGGCAAATTCCCGTCAGGCCAGTACATGTTTTTACTTCTAACCTGCTTCCATACAAATATACTGGCCTGACGAGAATTTATCGAGAGTAACCGTATGCCCGCAAACTAGTCCTCTGAATAATTCCATAAATTCAGCCTATTGTGCTGTAGCCATGCACGCGGAGGTTCGCAGACGAATTCAGAGTTTAAGGACGAACAACTCATGAATGACTTGTCTCACACCATTAGCAATTCAGCCAAGCTCGGCGGCTCCGCGCCCCTCAGGTCGCTGGAGGCGCTTCGAGAGATGGGAGGCAAGCTTTAGACCTTAATGGCATAAACGAACATCGATGATGAATCAGTTCAAGAAAGGTCCGGTATGCGATGGTGTGACTGTTTTTTGAGTTCTCTGACATCTGAGGCAATTGAAACAATGTAGCGGTTCTGTCATTATTATCAGGTTTCCAGATTGCTGCGCGATACGGGGCAATGTGTAAGCAGAAACTTGGTTGAACGTTTGGAATCGCCGTGCTGGTAAACTGCCATTACAAAAAGGACGCCACAGCCCGTCTTTTTCGATATCGGAGGTTCTACGACGCAAATTAAGAAATACTTTAGGCGGCTGCAATCAGGCTATGCGAACCGGTCCTGTGCGCACAGAGGAATTTCACACAGGTCCCACAGTTGCCGCGGGTCAAAGCTACCAAACCAGCCATCCGTATATAATTACTTTTACCAGGGCCTACCTTCTCCATGGCGCTGACTGGAATTTTGGTTTCCCTTGTCCCGTTCCCTCCTCAAACTTCAGCTACAGTATACCTATTTACGTGTCCGTATCTTTTGATTCATTATTTCAATAGCCACATAAATTTATAAGCCTGAAGAAAATTTATCAAAAGCTGACGTGTGCTCACCAAATTGCCTTCTGAACTTTACGTAGTATTGAAAAGGGCCAGTCGGTATCCGAGTTCCCATGACTGCCAAAATCTAGGTTCATTCATTGATGTTTTCGCAGATTTTGAATAATTCATATTGACTCAACTGTGAAAAACTCGGCGCCTCGGTGGGATTAAAACCCACGACAGGAAGAGGAAGGCTTTAGTACAGCCAACACGATAGCCACCTGAGCTACGAGACCCCAGGGGGAGACGTGAGTTTAATCGCATTTGGGTCAGGTTACCCGCCCAACCTACTGCAACGTCTGGAATCCACCAAATCTGATACAGCAAGCTGACGGCCAAATCATCTATAAATTACGTGAGCCTAGCAGTCATCTGGCGGTTTCTAGGTGGGTTACTTAGGAAATCCTGTTTGGGCAGTCAGCTTGCTGTATCAGATTTGGTGGATTTCAGACGTTGCAGTAGGTTGGGCGGGTAACCTAACTCAAATGTTATTAAACTCAGGTATCCCCCTGGGGTCTCGTAGCTCAGGTGGCTAGCGTGTTGGCTGTACTAAAGCCTTCCCCTTCCTGTCGTGGGTTCGAATTCCACCGAGGCGCCGGGTTTTTTGCAGTTGGGTTAATATGAAAAATTCGGATCCTCTTAAAGTTGCTACTCATGGAAAGGAGTGAATTAAAGTCGGGTCAGCTGAGTAAGTTTTTGAAAAACTCTCATAAAACCATTAAAATCTATTGGAGGAATAGTCACTGATTAAGAAAACAATTTTCGAGTCGACACAGCTCTCTGGGAAGCTTCTTGATCAAAAGTCAACATGCTTGCTTGCGATTTACAATAGCAGTTATCGGCAATGATTCCTTATTTCCTTCGGTTGCCACCTTTCATCGATGGGTGTAGGTCATTACTGATTACGATCAGGGTTTTATGAGTTGCAGCGCAAACATAGCATGTCAGCGTGATGCCATCCAGTATGACAGTCTAACTGCTATGAAATGGGTACTAATTTTTTTTAAGTATGCACGGTTAACTTTATCTACGATCTGAAACTTCAGAAGGCGACGCATTTTTTCATGACCTGGGCCATGCCATACAATACCTACTGGCCAGAACCCATCACGAGTGCTTGCGTCTCCTCTCATGTTCGTGAGAAGACTTCTACTTCGTCTTCAGTAATCATGGATATCACTCATCAATTGCATCCGCAGCTGCCGTCTGGCCTATAAAAGGTGAGGAGTGTATGATTTTAGCCACCTACATTTATGCGGCCTAAACTTTCTTCCCATCTAAAGTGACATGTGTAAACGCCAGTCGAACCAGGGTTATTATGTCCCCTTGATATTAAAATCCCCTGTATCGAATAAACTTGTTGATTGATGCAAGTAACCCGGTCATAAATGACAACAAACTGAACTTTTAACGATAAACTTTCATGCAACTCACGTAAATGCGCTGCGGTGAGCCGGGAAGAGAAAGCGGGCGTCCGTTGGCGCGGGTCCAACTGATTCTGAGTTGGGCGGAGCCCTGGGCCCGGCAAACCCATGTGAGGGAGTCGCCTTCGTCGACAATTTTTGAGGCCAAACCAGGCAGAATTAGAGGTGCCTGCGTGACTATCATCTCTCCGTAGGCTGTCGGCCAGAGATTTCTATTTAATGTCTCTAAGAGGTAGCAAAAAATGCAGAGCTTGTTATTTAATCGTGCTTTTAAGCAAAACTGACATAGAAAATCTCCGCTCTCCTTCTATTTTTATCGCGCAAACACAGTCGAACAACCTTACGGCGGAAGCATACTTTTCGTGCATCTTTCTCCCATTTCTGTGGTTGGAGTACTACTTGCGTGCTTATCCACGTGTCTCAAGCTGTCCTGACTAGGAATTGACCGCTGATGTATGGAAGTAATTCTACGTTGAATCGGCCGCTTTGGGATGATTTATGGAAATAATTCTGCATTGATGTTGTCGCAAAAAGGTTGAGTGGATGGGGTTCGAAGTCCTACCTTACCGACCGTTTCTTCCTTCCTGCTTATTTGGTCGGGTTACCACGGAGTTGTTCGTGTAGTTGTTCTACTTAAAACAAGTCGGTATCTCATCGTGGAGGCTGCATCCATTTCAGCTGACTCACTGATTAAAACCGTGAGTTACTCAGATCAACAGTGCATATTTACCGACGAGTAGTCAATAAAACTCCAGATATCCAGCATATTTCCAATGCAGGAGTTCAGGATCCATGGTTGTAGGCAGGCTATGAATATTATGTCAGTAAGGAAGTATATCCCCTTGAACGCAGCAAGAATGAGGATTTTTCATTTTTTCTAAGGCAGATTTGCAGATGACGGAATGTTGATTTTCGAATGGAAATTTGTAGTCAGTTCCCTCAAACGAAGGTCCTGCGGAAGGAGGTCGTGATGGCATAACACCCGAATAAAACTGCGTACTTCCTCAAATTTTAATGTTTTTTGCAAAAGACTGAAAAGTTAAAGCCCAAACGGAAGTGCTTACTTTCATTCTGCAGCTGAAATAGGTTTGTGAACGCCTCTCTTGTATATTTTTAAAGTAATAGTTACCGAACTATTCTTCTTGTTTTCCATGCTTCAGGCAATAATTCGTTCTCAGTCTTAGTCATCCAAGTAATTCCAAACAGCTAACCTGACTGCGAGTTTGACTTAGTATTAGTTAGGACTCTCCTATTTAATTGGCTTGATCAGGGATAACCATTGTGTTAGAAATGGCTGTCTTCTTAGTCATCAGTTCTTTCCTGCTAGCTGCTTCAAATCTTCATTGTCATTGTCTGTTTGATCAATCTTCCAACCCCATACGCCTCTAGCTAGTTTGCTCCTGTAAGAGGACGCATAGAAAAATCCCTCAAAAACGAATTTTCTGCACTGACTTTATGGAACGTTTTAGTCAAGTTGAAGAGGAAGTTATGCTTTTCCACGGAAGAAAACATCATGTCAATTCTAACTTACTTATTTCGATAACACATCGATAAAGACCGTTGTCGTTTATGTCCGCAAAACGAACACGCAGCTGATAGGTTCGCAGTTGATCCACATTAGTCCCTGGCATTGTAGGGGCATAATCTGGTCTACCCGGTAGGAAGACAGCTTGGTACTTCGGCATGCCATAGAGTCCAATTCTTATCGGTTCCAGCAGTTTTCCACCAATACTGATTTGTTTACCGCCGTAATACCAGCTTGCTTGCTAAAAAAAAATCATGAGGTCGTAGCGTATAAATGGCTTTGTTTGTCCATTTTCTGGACGAAAGGTGATGGTGACTTTATGAAATGTTTGCAATGTATTCCTCCTAGGGCTTCAAAATTAGACAAAGTACTGCTAATATTCGCTGAAAAAAAAATTACAAAGATAAATTTTTGAGCAATTAATGGTTTTGCGATTAATTACAGAAGCGAATGTTGCTGATAAATCACTATCTTTGGTTCGCATGGCCCTGCAGCTATTTGGATGGACTTGACTAAAATACAAATGCTTTCAGGCAGTCAATGCCGTCCACATTCCACCTAAACAAATTACCTCTCTGGATATGCAATAGAAATAACACTTTGACAAAAGCTAGCAGCGTAGGAAATTCCACCACCTCCGGTATGACTGGATACCGTCAGCCTGACTAATATATGTAACATTCTCAAGGGGCACCACCACAGAAGTGCGTATCTCAGCAAGGTTGGCACCAAATAGGCGAGGTAATTTTTGCTATAATATACTGAAACGATTCTTGAGTCATGACGCTGTCCAAACATTCAAATTTATAATTCACACCTCACAGGTGACAAGCGCTTTCTGTTTTTCCTGACGACTAAAATTTCAGTAGTTTGGTACTGAAGACGATATAGGACCTCTCAATTCCCTATGATTCAGGAGAACATTTATTTTAAAACTGACCCTTTAAAACTGACCCTGAACCTTCTGAGTTCGTATTTGTCGGAGATTTGTTCATCATTTCGTCAGTGACTTGGTTCTGTCTTTTTTGCGGTACATCCTGTCAAAATAAATCTTGGTTTCCTTCAACTGCTTAGTTTTTAAACGACAATTTGCTTAAGCAACATTGTAATGTTGCTTACATAAGCAATCCGAATTTTCGCGACTAGTTGCCACAAGCCAGCTTAAAATCATCCCTCTTCTGTCTGTTTCTTTTAATTTTTCACTATTCGAGAGTCTCAGACGTTCCTTCCACGTCAACTAAATCCGGAGCCTTTCATCTACGTCTTATGCTCAGTTTCGTTTGATAGTCAGAGATTTCAAAAATATTTGGATTCTACTCTCAGTCAGACTGTGGGTGCAAACTCTGGTTTCAAAATTGCTGTCCAAGATTGGGGCTGGCACTGACAAAACTTTCGTTACAATAGTCAGGTGAAGGATAGCACATTAGGTTTGGTAATAATTTGCCAGAGAATGCAAATTTAAACTTGCCTAAGTGCATCCAGTTATTGACGTGTGACACATTTTGACTAGCTGAGGATGCAAATGACGCTTCAGAACTTAAGAAATAATACAAGCCTAAAGGTTTCACGAAGAATTTTTCACGTGAAGAACTGCGACTGAGACGTGTCATTCCTTTAGGACTTATTTGCATTACTTTCGATATCTAGTCTTCATTGTCTGAAAAACGACTACACCTTCGTGATGGCACCCTTAACAGGGGCAAATTTACATAGACTTTTTTACAAAATGTGTTTACACCGCAAAGACATCAAATAACCTCTCGTAGAACCCGATGCGCGGCCGACTGCCGAACTTGCACTTAGTGAGTTGCCGTATCATGATCACTCTGCCATTAGACTGCGTACTTCCTTTGTCTCGAAAGGCAAAATGTATGTGACTCTTTTCGAGGAGTAGTTAATAAATCTACTAAGTCATAATCCATAGGATAGGCGGAACTCCCTCCCCGCTATGAACGGACATGTTTGGCATTCGTTAAAATAGCGGATCACTGAGGACTTGTTTTCATGAAACATTAACAATTAGTTTAATTACCACCTTTTTCTAATACACTTCTAATACAAAAACTTATAAAGCTTCTAATTGTAGAAATCGACTGCCGCCGTCAATCGGCCGCATTAGGAAGAGATTCACCAGTAGTAATAACGAGGAGACAGCTGTAATGTGGGCGTAGAGCAATTGCCCGGGCCGCTCAGTTAAGCAAAAAAGCACTATCGCAGGTGCTGCCCACACCAGTCTTTCAGCATCCTGACTAAACAATATCTCGACGATATAGACGGTGCAGACAAAGCCGGCACCGATGTGTCGATGGTGCCCATATACGAAGTGGATATACTCTTATTATAGGTGTAACCGCGGTGCTTACGCCACGTATCGCAGTGATAATCATTCAAAAAGAACAAAATCCGTCTTCGAAACGTTATTTTTTTGATTTTTTACCGTTTATACTCACGTTTAACTGAGATTCGTCCAAAACCATTGTGCAATTCAAGTAACCCGTGTTCTTTTCTTGTACAACTTCAACATTTATTTTGTCAACAATTTGAGGAATAAAGTTAGCACTGTAGATACCTAATGGGAGTTTTTAAATTGAAAACTCTGCCCATACATCTCAGAAGGAATCCAACAAATACCACTATCAGAGCATTCATGTGGGAAAGGCATACAAAAAACCGGTATTTATCTATTTAAGCTTATTTATGCAAACAAACAAGACTGTTATGTCTGGTAAAAACTTCAGGCTTGACACAACTCTAATTGACAATCGGCATGCAATTAGATATAATAAATCCTTTCGGGGGCAAAACATGTACGAACTAAGTCCAAAAGAAATATGTTCTTGTTCCATTCCCGCTACAAGACTTTGATGAGCATTCAACAAGGTTTTCTTTTAAACCTGGTAAGTTTATGTAGAGAGGTCCTCTAAGGGTTAACAGAAATGAAGCCGTCCACTTTCTGCGTATTCTTTAACCTTTAGCCAGACGATGCATTGTTTTAGACTCATAACATCGCTTAGAATTTCAGGCAGCTATTTTCCGTAAATTTAAGTCCGCGAGGGTGTTGTCACCAAAGTCTAGTGTAGACCTCATTTGTCCACGTGTAGCGGTACAGGACACTTGCGTATAGTAGTAATTCAGTTTGTTTGGAATGTCGCTTGAAACTGTCTTATCATTTGGTGGATGTGAAATTTACTTTACGAATAGACTCTACAAGAATTCGGGGAATAAATATTAAAGTTTCTGTCCAAGATTAGCAGCCCAAAAGCATGGCCCTACGACAGACGCAGCAACAGATGTCCCTAGTAGTTTGTTGGGTTTGAGAGAGCTTGCATATTTGCTTTAGATGACTTTTGACGGTGCATACAGACCTTGATTATTTCTTCATTTTGTCCTTTTTCGCTGCCAACACCAGATACAGTTCTAAATGCGGAACAAAACGGGGGCGAATCTGGTCTTGATCCCGTCCATTCCAATTTTACCCCGCCTTTAGGGCGGGTACATCCGCCAACGGGATTAGTTTTCTTTCTCCCCAAAGTGCATTGGAGATCTTGGATGGGAAATCGAATCTACCCTCCATCCTTGGCTGCTTTAGAGGCTACGCTAATTCTTGTTCAAATCACGACCAACTGTAACGCACTTTTGTTACCAGGCTTACTTTTTGTCTCTGACTTCATCCATTCCAAAACGGACGGCTCATGGTATGATGGACCTTGCCGCCATGAGGAAAGTCGGCAAACAGAAAGAAGTGTTAATTGTATAGGCCGAACGAAGCTTTCTTATGAACCTTTTATGATATTTTCGCTTTCTGCTTTTGTGTAATCTGCGACATCACGAACAAAAACAGGTGTTGCAAGTGCGGTAAAAGGGCAAAGAGCACTGGAAGCAATGACTCACAGAAACTAACAGGCAACTTATGGAACACGAACTATATTTTTAGAAAGCGTGCTTAGTGGACCTCGCAAATGAACTCACACAATTCGTCTTGTTTGGCAGTAATAAAGCCACACTAGTCCGGCATAGTTCGGTTTATTTAAATGTAATTGACTACGCCTGTAAGACCCTGTTGAAAACGGCTCATATACTATTCAGGTTAATGCAAATATGTTATTGCACTGTTGACATTGACGTATGAATCGTGCAGAACAGTGTTTTAATAATGCAGGACTGAGATCTACACACCCTCAGGTATCGAAGAAATTTTGAAATGTAAAATAATAGTCATCCCCGTTAGCGGTAAGTATGTGCGAATCGTTGGTCTGGTTTAACAAAAGTTTCATGGCCAGATCAACGGTGTTTTTCAGCCAAATATAAATCCATCTCATGCTTGTATGCCTCCGATGAGTCTGTCACTATTACCACCTCAAAAAATTCGTTCCTGGCACCGACAATTTGCTGCGAAAACGAGTACCTACGAACATCCAGGTGCACTAAACTTCCTCGCGGCTTGATGCAGTTTCCACACAGGTTAGTTGTTGCTGCCACTACGAAGATGTGAATGGTACAGTCCCGATTCCTCACCATTAGATAAGTCAGTATCAGCTCTGGGATCTGTCTGTAATCAAGGGGAGATATATCAAGCACATCAAGTCTTCATTTCCATAATAAAAACCTTCGCCCCCTCATGACTTTGGTCACCCTCCTTTGAACTCTTTTTTGCAATTTATGGTTTTTTCGGTTGAGGGCACCCCGCCTGTATTTCATATTCCAGTTGCTAGCGAAAAGGTGCTCCAAATAATTTTCAAAGTTGCTGCTTATCTACGTCTAATAAAGTTATTTTATTAGCGGAAGGAACATTGGATGCTCTTTTTTTCGATGCCGCATTGAGCGGTGGTCTCCGGGATGAGGAAATGGTGATTTTGAGGTCTTTTGTGTAGTTACACTGGACAGGTACCTTCCGTTAAGGAAATACTGATTAACATCTCTATTTGCTCTTTTCTTCTTCGCTTTGAACCGCAGTACGACAGAATTTTCAAGGTTAAGCTTCAACAAGCACTTTTGGTACCATTCACATAGACGATTCTGTTCTTCTTGCTGGATCCGTTCATAATTTCTGCATTTGATCGCTAGCGGATTATTCGATTTTCAGCAGAAAATTTGATTGCCAATTATACTCACTGTTATTGGCTGTCTCCAGAGGAATGACCTACGAACGTTTATGACTTTTCCATTCAATGCTTTAGATTTTTCTCACCGGAGGTGGGTCTTATGAGGAGTTCAGCTTTGAGCTCCTCTCTTTCTTCTGCTCGGCCGGTGAGAAATCCCGCTAAAAAAGTTATTGGGGACGTTTTATGACGTTGGCCTCCTGTTCAGCAGTAGCTGTTCCCCATTTTGGAGAACAAGCTTTGGCAGTCCGGGTTGGCTCGATTCATCTTTTGAATCATTTACTTGACCCACCCCAAAGGCGTTTAGAACGATTACGTTCTCATTCTAATTTTAAAGAGATTTGATGAAAGGCTTGATTAATTCCATATTGTAATCTATTCTGTCGTTTGGGGTTTCCGAAGCAGACTTAGGGATGTCCTTTATGGCGATGCATTTACGGAAATCTGCTAGAAGACCCTGAGTCTGGTTTTATGCACAGAGACTAAATTGCCCCATTCTCTGCTGATTTCATTGTTTGATTCAATGGCAGTTGCCATGGCATAGTTACAACATGGTTCCTTGCTTATCGAGGCATCTCGGCACCTCCTTTGGCATTGCGACATTTTTTTGCGTTGTTTTTGCACCCTGCCCTCTCATATTGACAATATGATCTACCTTGTCTTTTCAAAATCATGTGGGGCATTTTTGTTTTCTGAAATGCCCTCGGGTTATCCTTTTTTCGCCCAAGGGGCTGGTTCTCGGCTATGCTCAGTTCCGTAAACCTACCCTCTTCATTCTCATCGGCTGATACATTTAAGTTAGCCGTGCCTGTGTACGTTCTTTCATTTCTCTGAATCTCTAGTGTGATCGATTTCCTCTCGCTGGATAAATGGCGAGGAAGTTTCTTCAACTCCTCCGCCTCCATTTTCGGGTCCTCTATCTCCTTCTTCGTTTCCACAAATTTCTGAATGAGTCTGAAGCATGTCGCACAGGGTTCGGCTTTGTATCTAACATCCATCAGACTCAACAAACTATTTTCCGGCTTGACGGGAACTGATTTGATGGCAGAATACACAAAACTGCAGTCCTTTCCACCACAATTAATGTCTTCTCTCTCACCGACCACCGTGATAGCAATGTGAAGACATGCCTTCAGCATACAAGAAGAGAAACATATCATTAGTTTTTATGTGACCTTGGCTACCAACATACAAAGGAATGTCGCTTATTGTACAGTTTTACCAACACAAACGTAGAGGCTTGGTTTTCTGGTTACAGTTTTAAATTTAGCGCAGTTACCTTTCCTTAAATAGTGAACACGTGGGTGCGTAATAAAAGTTCTAATTGACCTATCCCAGGAGTTACCTAATGCTCACTAATGGATACCTCTGGTTCGAATGTTTACGATCATAGCTCGTGGTTTTTCAAGAGTACCACATTGGTGCTTGGTGAGAATGATCTGGAGATATGAATTCTGAATGCCGTTTTCTATTTTTGAGGAATTGTTCCGGTACGTGTCTATCACGGCGTGGTATTCCCATTTTAGTTGACTTTGCTCCCATGGGGCATGGATACCCAGCATGCCAGTCATTTTAAGCGCCTGGGTGTCCGGCGTGTGTTCCCGTTACTTCAATCACTTTATGGTCCTCGCTTGTTGGCCATCTTAGCAATCATGTACACGATCGTCTCTTATATACGCATTCACATAAGAATGGTTATCCTGATAATTCGGAATGCCCAGGACAAACCACACCTTACTTGCCCGTAAGACAGATGGAATGTGTCTTCGATGCAGGCCGACACTGCGAGACTTGGGATCGAAGCTCAGGCGAGGTGACGACCTTCTAGAAGCCAGTGCAAGAGACGTTTTGGTGATCGGCAACTACGGTCAGACAACTGTCAGCCAAATGTCGCGTGACATCGCGCCCAGAGACTAACTCGGTAGTTCAGTTCAGTTTTATCAAGGGAAGGGTGAGCGAACGCCCCTAAACTCCCTCTTGGTTACAATAACGTTGTAAACAGACGCCAATACATAAAGAATGTTTAAAAGAAGAGTGGCTGAATAATAAAATGCAACAAGCGTAAATACCAGTTTTGGGAAATGCTAGTTTGTCTCAATATATGCATGGCGGGTCAAAATCGTTGCCGAAACAGGCCAAGTACTATGGGATGAACATTTAACCTTCAGTCGGAATTCATTGGGTTAAGCGTTATCATCCGATGGGAGTATTTCCAAAAGATAAAGTATTGTTACTGAAACGTATGAAGTAGCATGTTTTATAACGTATGACTTTCGGGAAGGGTGATTCATGTAGAAAATTTTGTTAGTTTCTGATGGTATGGTGGCACACATCCCTGTACTGGTCAAGCTTCCTCTTAAATTTGTCCACGGACGGAGACGTACTGACGTCCACAGGCAGAACATTCCATGTCTTAACTACTCTGGAACTGAAGGAGAACCTCCTTGCGTCCAGTTTTGTCCTCTCAGGCTAGTAGTGGTGTCCGGCTCAAAGACGTCGGCGAATGCTAGACCACAATCCTGACTCCGCAGTAGGCGAAACGCTTGAATT